CAAGTCCAGCAGAGAGGGAGCCTGGTCCACATACCTCAGAGGTTCCCTCAGCCCCTCCCAACCCAGGCTGATGGGTGAGTGAACTTCAGCAAGGATTGACATTTGTGAGAAGCCCAGCTCCAGGTCAGAGGAGCAAGCTCGCCTGCGTGTGAGGTCCAGGCCAGCTGGCTTTGTAGGTCCTCCAAAGGCATTACTGCAGGCAGCCAGGGCCCTCTTCCTTGCCTCCCCCGCCAGGGGCAGCTGCAAGGTCTGCTGGCTAAGGGAGCTGCTGCTCTTTATGTCAAAACATAAATAGCCATTTGTGTATCTGTTCAATAACTGATTTCAGAGTGCCCACTCTGTGCCAGACCAGGCCCAAGGAACATAGCATGAACAGGATAAAAGAGCAAAACATGTCAGTATGAACAATCCTAGCCCTGTCCAAAGTGCTGCGGCTGCCTTGGGGGCTCTCAGCAAGCGACACACTGCCTCTTCTCTGATCATCAGAAGGGCCAGATTCATTGAGCATTCACTGTGTATTAGACACTGCCCAAAGCCATCATGCTTGCTGCATTCAGGTAAGGAACTTCTGCCTAAGAGTCTGAACATGAATACATGCATACACACACACACACACACACACAGAGTCTGAGTTTCTGGGGTGTTCCCACATTCTCTGAAGTCCATTCATGAACAACATTAACAATGGCCTATGAAACATTTGCTTTATATCAGTTGCTTTTTTAGAACTTTATACCTACCTATTTAATTCTCACAACATCTCTACAAAATCAACTCTATTATGTTGTGTTACACAGAAGGAAACTGAGACACAGAGAAGCCACATGAGGGACAACAGAGCAGGATTTGATCCCAGGCAGTGTGGCTTGGGGGGCATCTTCACCATCATACTAGCCTCACCGTGATCTAACTCAGTTCCTCCTGTTACAAACAACTCCGTAAGAAGCAAAGCAAGACCTCGGTTTTCCTCATTGAGACTGTGTCAATGCCCCAATGTCCCAGCACTCTACATCTTTGGGCCACTGCATATCAATCACAAACCATGGGATGTTTACCCTCCAGCTTGGAATTGCTCTGTTAAGGCCAGCCATGTCCACAATGACAACACATACAGTTCATCTTGAAGAATGACTAAAACATCCCAAGCTGTGCCAGAAACATAAACATCACTTAATAACCATACAGTGAGCCTACCCATCACTCTGCTTGGCTAAATGTTGGCCCTAAACTGAGTTCTTGGGATTACCAATCTGTTCTGAAGACTGAAAGGAGCGGCTGCCAGTTCCCACAGCACCCCAAACTCAAAAGGATGTGATGAGGTAACAATCCAGCAGCCCATCAAGGGAAAACACTGAATCAGAGCTTTGCGATGTACTAGGTCCTCAATGTTGTGACTGATGCACTGATGCATTCTTTTTTTTTTTTTAAGATTAATTTATTTGTGCATACAGAACTGGGGTACAGGCCAGAGGTGCAGGAGCAGTGAGAGGATTCACCAGAGACAGAGTGGGGAGCAGAACAGGCAGATAGAAGAGGTACACTGCTGAGGGGAGCAGGGGGTGGGCCAGGAGAGGTCTGCCACGCCGTGTGGGTCACCTCCTGGGTGGGGATTGAACTCATGCTGAAGTGGCTTTAGCTTCTTAGTGCTGTGCTTTAGCCTGCTGCGCCACCAGGAAGGGCCCGTGACTGATGCATTCTAAGAGTCAAGAAACTACCAGGTATTTTCCTGTGCCAACTATCAAAAAGGCAAAGGGACAGATGTTAAGACACCACCTGTACCAGAGGGCAACAACTACATATCCTCCCACGACTAAAAGGCCAAATGCATTCAGTGCTGTGGAACTGCCCAGGGAGGCCCCAAAGGTAAGACTAGAGAGGGCTGCAGACCAGGGAGGGCGGCAGGCCAGGGCTATCAGGCCTGAGGAGTAGGAAAGGCACCGCCTAACAGTACCAACAAGGTGTGGATGTGTTTGCCAGAGTTCAACAACATCACTTTCTTTATTCCTAAGACCAGAACCAACTGAAACACAAGCACTGACTGGCTGCCAAGTGCCATCTGGAGCTTCAACTGCAGTGCTTCTGTGGCCTCAAGACCATCCTGTGGTGACACAGTGCCTGCACACAGCAGGTGTTAATGCTTGTTATGGGGTAACCGCATCACTTGTTCATCTCCCAGGAGCCAACTATTCAGGGGTAAAAGGCCATGAAGACTGCAACTTGCAAGAGAGTCAGGAAAAAAAAAAACACGTGTGCACATACACCTCAAAGTACCAATGCACACAAATAGAAGGGATAATGGAAATAAGTAAAATACTAACAGTACTAAATACTAACAGTAGATGATATGCAGGTATTCTATGCATGTAATTTATTCTCATAACTTTAAGTTTGAAGTTATTTTTCTCCAAAGGCTTCTTTATATAGATAATGTTATATATGCACTATCTCATATACGTGAGTGTGAGAATTTACTAACTACTTTCCAACTAAAATGAATGAAATGGTTAAGCCCAAAACCCAATCTGCCAAGCAAGGCCAGGTATAGTGTTACAGGGTAGTGGGCTGTGTTGGCAAGAATTCCAAACTCAATAGGCACTTGGTACAGGGCTTTCCATCTTTCTGTGAGCTTAAGCCTACATATCTACTTGTTATATTCTTCCTATTTGATAAGTGTTGATCCAGAGGGAAGGTACTGTGGCCACTTGTCAGCTGAGAATGTGCCAGTTCAGCACAGCCAGCAGGCCCCTCTAGGCTCCTTAAAGGCAAAGAAAAAGTCCTGAAGTAGCAGCCAGCCTACTGTTTCAAATCCCAGCTATGCTGCACACCAACTGTGTGACCTTATACAAGTCATTTACCTCACCCAGCCAGTTTTCCCAACTGTACAAGAAAGAGAGCTTCCAATCCTGATTCTTTACCAGGCAGCCTGGTCAAATTCAAACTTTTTAAAGTCAGGGACCTAGAAAGCACTCATTCCAAAAAAGCAGCAATTTAAGATGGACATTTCTATTAGCCTGGAGAGCTGTGACTGAAACTACAACATGCTTTTCTTTTGCAACTGGAGCTAGAAAAAGTTTCAGAATCAGCACGTGACAGCATTCCCTGCACAGAAAAAGGATTAAGCAGACAGTATCACTGGAATGGGCAAAGCCCCAGCCAAGAGTACACAATGGGGGGCAGAACAGATTTCTCAATGAAATTTCACCTCAGTATACTTAGCTTGATGAGGATTTCAGTTTCCCCATCTGTGAAACAGGATCAGTAACAGTATCTACCTCACAGGTACGACCTGAGAATTAAATTTATAAATACCAGTGAATGGCAAGTAACACATCCTCAATCAACCAAGAAAGGGCTGCATTAAAAAGAAACTGGTGAAGGTAAGTTTGACACTCAAGTGTTACCTCATGCCCTGCCCTGCATCAGAGAGTAGCTCAAAGTGGTTTGACACATCCTGAAGGGCTCCGCCTGCCCTTTCTCTCTCCCTTTAAGCAGGTTCTAGCTGGTACGCTCCTTACAAGTCTGGTTCTAAGAATCCAACAGAAAGAAAGCAGGTGAACACCAGAGAAGCTCTCCTCCCTGAACTGCTCCCTCTCTGAACCTCATAAATGCAAGCCAGCTCATCCCTGCCTGGTATTCTCCGGAAGACCACAGATGACACACAAGCACACAAGACCATATGACCCAGATTAAGGTCTAGCTTCACTGCCAAATCAAAATCAGGGATTCAGCTGGAGTGTCACAGATATTGCAGGACAGTTCAAGATACCACTCAGAGTCACTATAAAGTCTGATCTGGAGTTATGGAATTAAAAAGATAACTTTGCTCCCTGTAACAGAGCAACCACCCAACTCAGACCTAAACTGAGGTCTGCTTCGCAGGTACAGACAACTGGCCACCTCTGATACTTGCCCTTGGGCCTCCACACACAGTAGACTGACTTACACCAAATCTCTTCTTCCACACCTAAAGCCACTCTCTTTGAGTATCCCCAGTGATGGGCATGCAGTGAGCACTTGCTGAATTGCTTGCCGCTGGCTTTCTGACAGAATATGTGGACAGACTGACAAAGGAAAAGAAGTTAGGGACATCAGTCATTTCCATTGTCCACGCAGATTAAGGCCTGCAACCAGAAGCACCCCCAAAGAAAACAGGTACGATGTGTGGTTTCACCCCCCAGATTCAGAAACTCTGATGAACAAAAACAGGGACTGGGAACCCAAACAGGATGACATCTTATGTACAGACCTGTTTTCTAAAAAAAAAAACAATCACCAGAGCCCACAAATTCATGGGCTCTGGTCCTCAAGAGTCCATACAGCAACACTCAACAGGAGACCCGTTGCCCTGCTCTAGTTCCCACCAAGGCCACACTACTGCCCAGAGAACAGCAAATACAGTGATCAAGCAGGTGTACTCTGGGAATCTGGAGAAAGGTCAGTGGAGAAACTCCAGGTTGAACACGGTTCCAGGGCCTTCCCTATGAGGTAGACACGCCATGCAGATGCCACCAAGTTAACAGAGCCAAGAGGTGCAGTGGGTCTTGCGGTGGGAGCTTGGCTAAGCCCCTGGAGGGTGGCACACTGTTCTTCTCCCAAGCCAGCCTCTACACCCAGGCCTGAGAACACTCAAGAGATGATGCTGGTCACTTCTGCCTTCAAGAGCCACTTTCTCCATAAAGAAATTAAGAATCATACTTTCCAACTCCATTGGTATAAGGATGAATGTATTTATATATGTATATGTGACGTTTTCATTGACCTGAAAGTTCATTTTCCTCCCAGGCTTTAAAAGCCACCGGCTGCTAAAAGCATTGTGGGTGCCACCACCTAGCCTCCTGTGCCTGAGGGATAAGTCGACCTTGTATTTGGGGTTTTGACTCTTGTTACAGTTCATGGGAGGAGGTATACCAAAAACAAGGTGAGAGAAAACTATTCTGGGACCTATGGCTACCAGGATTCTGACTCCCCATCACTTAGGGGAGTTCTAAAGTATTTAATCGTCACATACCAGGGGCGCTCCTGGGTGCCTGGCACTTTCCAAGCTCCGGGGCAGCAACATCGCCACAGGGCAGCGCGTCAGCCTCAGCCCAGGGCGTCGCTTCCTACAAGCGGCGTCAGGGGACTCCAGCTGCCTCCGCGGGCCGGTCTCTGGGCTGAGTACTCCTCCAGTGTGACATCTCACTGAGTGACGACAAGCACAAAGCCACCGTCTTCCAGCCAAGGGGCTGCCAGGGCCGAGACGCTGGCCTAAAGCCACTGCTAAGCCGAGGCAAGGGCCATCAGGTACCTTCAAGAGTGGCTCTCTCGACCCCCACCCCCCACCCCAGCACTTCGGCCGCCCCAACCCGTAGGCCAGCTAGAGGGGGCGCCCTCGGGAAGCAACTCCTCAACCAGAGAACTCCCACATCCCAGAAGTTAGGTCCAGCCCCGCACATCACTCTCATCCATCAATCTTAAAGCACGCAAAGAGCCACAGGCGTGGATCCTAAGCTACATTCTTCGAGATCAAAGTTCCATGATGTACTAGGGCTCAGAGCCCACGTCAACTCACGGCCCCGTCCCCCGTAGGGGGCCCCGGCGGGCAGCATTCAGGCCTCGGCCGGCGCCCCGCCGGGACTCGA